GACGGCGGATATAGTGGATGTAAACAAGGCAAGGACCCGTACTGGTGACCTCGCTCTGACTCGGGTGTCGGGCTGATGGGTCATTGGCCAATTGGTGCGGAAGATATACATGTAATACCCGGGCAATTTGTTTGACAGCGTCCATTTTGATTGGTAAAAGACATTCTCGGCTGTGTAATCTGCATTCGGTGGCCAATACCGTCTATACTTTTTTGTTGTTGCGAATGGCGATACGATTGGCTTTGAGCTAGACTTTACTGTAGCTTATGCAGACACTAGCCGACACAAACAGGGTCTTATTTAGGTGCAATTCCCCATCTCAACGGTATCTGACCAATATGTATTCGTGAATAGTTGCTTTGGAATATTTGTGTATCTACTGTTCCGCACCCACACTGGAACTAAACGTGTATCCATCAACACTTGTTTCGGGACCTTATGTGTGTAAAACTACCAGACATTACATAACTGCACCGATTAATTCCATTGCGTACAATTTCCGGGTAGTTTGTCCTGCATCATATTCTCTACTCGGAATCTGCCATGATCATTACTTTCATACCTATTGCAGTCGGTCATTACAATGGTAATGGTGGTGCCATGTGGTGGCCGGTCCGAGTCCCCGTCAGTGGTGGACGATTTCCGAAGTGGATCTCGTACTGCGCGGTTCTTCTGCTTATCTGTGGTTGAGGATCAATGCCCGGGCTCTCTGCACTGACCGTTGGTCACATCCCTCGTGTTGCTGGGCGGTCGCTGCCCTGATTGTCGCTCACTTCCTTGTAGGAAATCCTGCCGATTCCGGCCGTATAGAGCGGCAGCGTCTGAGAGCTGGCAGTCCAACGTCCACGGCCCCGGGCCGCCCCTGACCTACCTCACATGGCGGGCCGCCACCGCGCCGCCGCGCCGCCGCCGCCCGGCGACAACCCTTTCCCGCCGCCGCCGCCGCCGCCGCCGCCGCCCCCGCCCCCAGACGACCGCCCAAGGCCACCGACGCTCTGACGTTACGGGGTGGCCAGATAATGGGGCAAAAAGCGGGCCACCGCCCGGTCACCGCGCCATGGGCTACGGGGCGACGGCCGACGCATGAGCCGGCTCGGAACAGCGCAGAGCTAACGACCAGGCGACCGAGCTAGTCCCGGCGGCGTATTTCAGAATATGGATACCGGGACAATATTGATCCTATGCGAGGTCACATGCCCTCCATGTGACCGACGAGAAGATCAGCAGCGAACTGATGATGTAATCCAGACAGCCGCAGCTGACATAAACTCAGATTCGACATTCACATAACGACAGGCTTACAGCTGGCCTTGTTCCTGTGTCTTGGAGCCAGACAGATAGGTCTGGGAAACGTAAACGTCAATGTGATGGGTGGTGAAAACAATAAGTAAACGCGCATAATATTTATCGAGGCGAGTGGGATCTTTGCCAGCCTTGCTGACATCGGTCTGTGTTCCATCAATATTGATTGGTTCTCCTTTTTTGTCTTTTGCTGTCCCTCCCAGTCGTGTCTCTACCAGCTGTTGAACTTGTTGCCTGTCTGGTTGCTATCGCCGTAATGAGCTACGCCTCTAGACGTCGCTGGAAATGTCCCAGACGCTGACAGGGATGAAGGATTTCTGTCACAGAGAGTGGCATGTCCACCGCCCAGTGCTCCATCACAGAACGGTAACGGCCAACGACCGCATGGACTTGCCAGACGCCATGTTGAAGCCGCAGTTACGCCAAGGATTTACTCATTAGTTGGATGGCTGCTCACTCATGAGGGATCTGGGATTTGTGTCTCATTGATGAATGTCTGGAAGGCCGCGGAGAAGATGTCTGTCGTAATTTATATATGCTTTAGGTAGAAGAAGAAGTTAATCGGTCAAGCAGGAATTTCAATGGACTCCTGTGCGCTGTCTGTTCATGTTGCCATGGTGCCTAAGCCCAACTCTGGCATTCTGATAGGTGCGCTCATTTCATGCATCTGAGACTCAATGAGACATGACTCCATTTCCGAAAACGGAACACATGCGAGGATGCACAGAGATGAATGATACCCTCATTTATAACACAAATCGATGCTTCTTTCCTCCTTGACCCCCAGGCATTGGTCGCTTTGCGTCTAATGCTCCAACACAAAATACCTACCGATGCGTAACACAGCTCTCATCTTAGTGACACAGTGGAACAAATCAGACGGAAATATGCCCATAATTGGGTACCGTATCCGGGTGTGGTCGACTCGTTAGCTGCTCTGCGCTGAGTTGACCCACCCTGGGGAGGGGGGCGTCAGTCCGTCCCCTCTCCCTCAGGCATCGATCACGGTCGACTCTACCGGACGGGGGAGCGGGGTCGCTTTGTTCCGACCAAGCCGAAACATGCAGGGAACACGACCACAATGTCCAAAAGTGGTGATAAAGGGGATGATCCGCTGGTGTGGCTTCGATTCGAGCTCGTTCATTTGAGAAGTGACCGATAATTCATTCTTCAATCACCAAAGGACGTTTGCGTGAGGGGTGAAATAGCGTCTGCTCTGCATTGCTGCAATGTTACGTCTTTATCGAATGAAAATATTTATATTGCAAGTTAAATGATATATTGAAAGCTGAAACGCTGTCAGATACATCATTTCTCATTGTCATGAAGAGCCGGTGCTCTTTGTTTGACACGCCGTGTCCGACAGCCAGTCCGTGAGCCGGCGCGGCCCTGTCCGTCTGTCTGGCCTTGCGGTGGGTCAGTGGCACCGTGACCCCCGCCCCCGCCCCCGCCCCCGCCCCCGCCCCCGCCCCCGCCCCCGCCGCCGTCGCCTCTCTTACCCAGATCTTTGGCCGACGGGGGAGCGACGACCCTGACTGGCCGGCGGAAATCGATGCATCGGCGCGACGTCCGAGGGGAGAAACGACGGGGAGGGGGGGGGGCAGACAGACAGACAGACAGACAGACAGACAGACAGACAGACAGACAGCGACGGCCGGAGGGAAGCTCCCGCGGCCGTGGTGGCGACGCCCGGAGCAAGCGATACCTGGCGACCTTTGAGCCTTAGTCTGGCCAGCCGGACGCCGCGCCGCGCCGGGCCGGCTGGCGGCGCGAGCGTTTATTTTCGCAGGGCCTGGGGCGGCAGACGGCGCGCACGCCGCACGGCCGGGGGGGGGGTGACGTGGTCGATGGGGGGGGGGCAGGGATTGGACAGATTGATATGTCCGGAGAGGGAATTGGGAGCCGTGCACTGAAAACAATTTAACCCAAGGCCCGCGAGTAAACCGGTGTTTTGCGGGTACCCCTATCCGCAACCATTTTTAACCACCCTACCAGGAGTACAGTAAGGTCCCATTGCAGTGTAGTCGTCCCTGCTCTCAGCGGACTTGTTCGCTGACAGCGGTTATATCCGCTCAGAGCAAGTACGACTACACCGCAATGGGACCTAGCACTACTCCTGGGAGGGTGGTTAAAAATGGTTGCGGATAGGGGTACCCGTAAAACACCGGTTTACTCGCCAGCCTTGGGTTAAACTGTTTTCAGTGTGCTGCCGAGGAGGCTGGAGGACAGTCACATGCCGATAGAATTCGCGGCCGTCTGCAATGCATGGTACTGTGTGATCATTCATATGCCGTTCTACAAACATTTGTTCTGATGTTATACCTACCGATTAGTTCTCAGAATCAAAAGTGTTTTACTCTAAAGGTAGTTCTTTGTGGTACAGGCGTCGCGGACGATCAAGCCACCCACGTGGCTCGGGCTCTCAGTTTGACAAGACCGCGGAGTTACTCTTGTGACTTACCGATCTGCCGTCAGCCGTGTCACGTTTTCTCGGTCACGTACCGAGCCAACAGTCCTTGTGGAGGGTGACTGACGTCCCCCTGGTTCTGTACGGCGTTTTGGCTGCGCTGGACTGCCGTTGGTCGCACCAGGCCACCCGGGCCAGTATATCGGCCGTCACTATCTGGGCCGAGCCGAGCCGCTGGCTAGTTTTTTATCGCATGGTAACGCAGCCCACTCACGAGCGAGGGCATGACAAAGGAACCGTCTATTTCCAAACCTCACACAGGATATACGTAACCCTTTCAGAAGGCAGTCGGGAATATGTCCCGAAACTTTCCCTATCCTCCAACCGCAGATCGCCTTTTAATGCGTTTTTTTTTTTGCACGGTTCTGCTTGGTGGTGGGTCCCCAATATCGTTGACCGTTACGTGTTGCCTTCACACTATAATTGCGGTCAAACGATGGAGCCTGGAAACTGGCCAATATCCTACGTCAAATTAGGAAGAGAATGAGGCATATAAGCTGAGAAAGAATGACCCGTATGCCAATTTATCACTGAGGTCAGCTGACACATCCCATTTACACATCGTGACATTTCCTCGCCGTGCTATTCGCGGCACGTCCGTCTAGCGTGGCCTCTCAAACATTACCGCATGACTCATGAGTAAGACTTCGTGAGTCAGCGCCGACTCACCGACCTACCGACCTCTACCGGCCCGTCGAGCAGGCTGCAGTTGCAGCGTCGACCGTCGGCGGTGCAGCCGTCGGCGGCGACGGCCCTCTATTGCCTGTCTCCAGCGCTGCATTGTCTGCTGCCCTTTGTGGGGCGATGCATTCCGAACGTGCTGGGCTGTGAAATTGCCCTGTGAGGCGATTTAACAGCCATAAATATGGACATCGGCATTGATCCTCACATGGGGACCACCCTCAATGCGAATTGCATTAGGCGACGGCAGCAACGTGGGGTGAACGGGCGCGCCGGGCTGAACTGTAAGTGGTTGTCGAAAGGTGCAGCGTGAGCCGTACCGGAAAGCAATTAACCGGGGATTATTCTGAGAGGGAGCTCTGTTCTGTCGGTGCCGGAGGGCCCAAGGCCGTGCCCAGTGGCGGTGCACGCTGCTCACCGGTTAACGGGACGGTGCCCGTCTCATGTGTCCGTTTTTTGTCCACCATGCACCCGCGTGTCCCCGTTTCTGCGCTCAGTGTGGGGTACTCGACCCACCCTGACGCTTTGTCTCTCCTCTGTGTGCCGGCAGATGTTCGCCTCCAAGGCCGATCTCCAGATGCACGTGCAGGTGCACATGCGGGAGGCCAAGCCGTACAAGTGCAGTCAGTGCAGCAAGGCGTTCGCCAACAGCTCCTACCTGTCGCAGCACACGCGCATCCACCTGGGCATCAAGCCGTACCGCTGTGAGATCTGCCAGCGCAAGTTCACGCAGCTGTCGCACCTTCAGCAGCACATCCGCACTCACACGGGCGACAAGCCGTACAAGTGCCGCCACCCGGGCTGCTCCAAGGCGTTCTCGCAGCTCTCCAACCTGCAGAGCCACTCACGCTGCCACCAGACCGACAAGCCCTACAAGTGCAACTCGTGCTACAAGTGCTTCACCGACGAGGCCAGTCTGCTGGAGCACATCCCCAAGCACAAGGAGTCGAAGCACCTCAAGACGCAGATCTGTCCGTACTGCGGGAAGAGCTACACGCAGGAGACCTACCTGCAGAAGCACATGCAGAAACACGCCGATCGCGTCGACAAGCGTGGCGTGCCGGGTCTGGGCGCGCCCCAGCGGCTCGAGAACCCCTACTGGCCCAAGGATGACTTTGACGTGAACGCCGGCGGAGCAGCTCTGCAATCCCCGCTGGACCCGACGCGTCTCCACCTGGGCCGTGATGGTCTGGAGCACCGCGTACTCAGCCTGGAGGATGGCCGGCCGGCGCACAGCCTGGCGCAGAACGTGGTCTACGACATGCCACGGGCCTCGGTGGCCTCATCGTCGGCGTTCACGCCAATCCAGAGCATGGCTCCGGCGGTGGGCGCCGCGCCGCTGCCCCTCCAGATGCCGCCCACGTCGCAGCGCTACTTCTACGACCCCAACAGCTTCCCCAAGGCCGGGGGAGGTCTCGAGATGAAGCCGGCGGGCAACACCAGCGGCTTCATCTCGCTGCACCAGATCAGCAGCTACGCGCAGCAGCAGCGCGGAGGCGGCGCCGGCGCCGGCGGTGACCTGCTCGGACTCAAAGACAAGCCGCCACCACAAACGCAATAGGTCGACGGAGGAGCCGGAGCCGCCGCCGCCGCTGCTGGCAGCGCTGGTGATCATTGAAGACGAAGCAAAGCTGACGGCGGAAGACGGCAGTCACTGCGGGCTGACTCATATCGGAAGCGGAAGACTCCGTCTGGTTAAACGCCGCGGCTGACGCGGGCTCTCCGGCGTGCGTCGCTCTCTCCCTCTCTCACTCTCTGTGTACATTCTGCATATATTGTAGATGTGTTAACCGACCTGTTGTTATCGTTGTGTGCTCACTAGAGCCAGCGCGGCGGCGCGGGCGGCCGGTCGCGCGGCCCGGCCCGCCCCACTGCCCCACTGTTTGTGTCCCTCCCAGCACGCTCGCGGGCCGCCACGGGGCCCACTCGGGGCCCGGGCCCAGTGAGCTGACGGGTCAGCCAGCTTGTAGTACTGCCTGTGGGGGGTCGGTGGATTGGGTGGGCGCGCCGCAGGGCTGCCACCGGGGTGGTGCTGATGACGCAATGATGACGTCACCGGTCGTAGGCGGGCGAGGATAGGCTGCTAGTACGGCGACCCGGACCACATACCTCATTGCTGTTGTGTGCGGGTGTGGCTGTTGCCCCTAACCGAGCGAATTTGACCGCCAGCGTGGCGGGTGTGGAAATTTTAACATAATCACTAGCTGTTGTTTGGGGTGTCAGCGTTTAAATTGGGCAGATTTTTGGCAGATTTTACGTGTTGACTATCAATTTTTAATTAGTGGTATGCTTTCGGCAACTTGGCTTTATAACCATCAAACTTTGGGTTTGATGCCTATCGTGGAAAGACGACTTCAGTCCCTGAATAAGCTCAGTGTTTCATTTTAAAATGGACAAACTAAATTTATTTATTCGGCAAACTATTCTGCTGCCTGTCATGACTCACTGTACTGGCATTGACTTTGGAAACGTTAAATGTTAACTGCCATATTTTGGTATTTACTAGTTCAGTGTTTCGTGTTAGCGATAGTCTGGGACGTCATCTCAGCGCCAGGCGAGGTCAGGTCACCGCGTGTGACCCAGTGTGACCCGGTGTGACCTCAGGTCACCGAGTGACCTGCCGGCGGCGGTTGGCAGGCCAGCCGCCGCTCCCATAGAACCCAATCAAACTGGCATTGTAAATAACCACCACAGCTGCATCAATCAAACAGGGTAGAGGCGCTGGCGGCGCCACGGCGCCCGCGCACGGGTTGTTCGGGCAGGGAGAAGGCACCTCGCCGGCCGGCTCAGGCGCTTCTCGGATTGGTTGCTTTCTGCGTGCGCTGACTTGTTTCACGTGTTTGCGATGAGCGTGCGCCGCGCCGCTAGGCTGCGGAGTCGGCCCGTACAGTGTGGTGTTTGTTACGTGTTATTTCTTGCTGTTATAGATATAGGCGCGCACAGTCGCGCAGTTTGTAATTTTCTAGGCGCGGCGGTATGTGAGCCAGTTGGTATTTCGGGGACGGGGAGGCGCAATTGAATTATGTTTGTTGTATCATACTGTAAGATATTTCATTACCTTTCGTGCTGGGAAGCTCGCATCTCAGGCGTGGCTGTCGCCCGCGGGCAAGACGCCCTGAGTGACCTGTGGGTGACCTCGGCGACCTTGACCTGTGGGCGACCCGGGCGACCGGATGGCGACTAGTGGCGGCGGTTGTGACTCGAGTTGGCAAGTGATAAACAGTGTCAAACGCTGTCTAATTGTCAATGCAACCATACCGCCTGTGGGAGAGAAGGAAGGACATCTAATGTCGACCTCAATCATCGACCTTACCAAGGTTCGACAAGGTCAAGTGATGGACTGTGATCGTGCCGGGTGTCACAGTGATTCCGGTGGGATGTAGTGGGACTCGGTGCTTGACAAGGCGCTCACAGCGGCGCCGCGGGCCCCCGAACAACTCCCCGGATGCGACCGGCGCCGCCAGCATGGCTCCTTATTTCGCCGCCTGCGTTGTTCTGTTTGCTTTGTCAAATGCCGTGCTCCCAGCTTTTTGCGCTGCGAAAAGACTACGGCGAAACTGCCAGGTTATGTTGGTGACTCGGCGGCTGCGGCTGCTACGATGGACTGGGGATGCCAGATGGATTGGGTGCCAGATGGGCGCCGGACCGCCGCTGGGGAGGGTTGGATCCGTGAGTTTCACGGAGGACGTTCGAAGATGCGTGGCACGTTCTTGTACAATTTTACTATCGATATCGCTTGAATAAAGTCTTGTATCGTATTCGGCTGTTTGTCGTGGATGTAGGAAAATGGTCGTAAAACTACAGAAGGGAGCGGTTCGTGGTGGTGGGGAGGGAGAGGGGGGATAACTGATACCTAAGCAGTAAGCATCAAAGGGTGTCCTGAATTTCACGTGCGCATGGGTAAGGCACGTCTATTTCTACTGAAAAAAAAAACAGCAGTTAGCTCCGATCACAAGTGTAGGTATGACATTTTGTCGAATCCGGTGACAATATAAGATTCTGTCATTGCGAAATAAGATTAACTATTATACTCAAACACGTCAACGTTAACTCTGACATAAAAACTTCCTCCTCAAATAGCGCAGTCTGAATCTCACCTCAGCAGTTCCCGACTAAGCCCAGCTCGGTTCCGTCAGCTACCCTTCGTGTGACCTTCCCTTTGATTGGCCGGTTGAGCGGGCTGACCCCGAGGGCCGGTCGGGTCACGAGAGCACTGGCCTCCGCCGAGGCGGGCCGTTAGTTTTGAGTGAGGGGTGCACATGTGGCGGGCCGAACGCCGTGTGCCACCGTGTGTGCAGTGACCCGAACTGTGAAGCGGTGAACTCCAAAGCGAATTATAACCTATAAGTTAAACATTTTGTTTTACTTTTTAGTCCCTTTGAACTTCACTAGAAAGCGATACAAAAAGTAGAAAACACAGCCGCCTGAGCCAACAATACCTACAATGTCAACGCCCAGGCCTCAGTGGTTCTTGTTCTGCCGTCGAAAAGGTAAGTTCGGCCTCATTGCCATTTATATTCCTCCGATTGTTTTCTGCGTGCATTTCCTTTTACGAAGTACATACATACCTAAGCTGAATTGAAGTGACGTTCATTCCTGCAAATGCGTCGCATGATATACCGCGACATGGCGTAAATTACGTCCGTCTACTTCAACGTTAGATAGGCATCAGTGACATATCCAGGACTTTTAAACCCATGCCTTTATCGCATAAGACAGCAACTGCACTGCGGGACCGGCTATCAATTGCCAAATCCCGACTGTCACGAGAACTGGAGGTGGCCATGTAGCCACCCCCGCCCCAGTCGTGACAGTAGGTCCTGCTGTCATATGTCTGTCTCAGGAGTCTGCTGTCATCTGTCCCAGAAGCCGCGAGGGTGGCCAGTAGCCAGTAGCCACCCACCGCTCCCCCGGGCGCGTCTGGCGCCAACCCTTTGTTCTGACCGGCCGGGGAAGTAAACCGAGCCTGCGAGGTCACACACCACCAAAGGGTTAGCTATCGGTGACCTTGGGACGCCGCCGGGGCCGGGCCAGACGGACAGAAAGGGTTGAGATAGCCGGCGACCACACTGGGAATCCAGAGGACCTCAAACCGTCCGCTGACCGTTTGAAACAGATCGGTGGCCACTGACCGAGGAAGCTGATGAATACAGATCAAAATGCACATTGCACTCTACTGTCATTTTAGAATAGACGGAATTGTCTCTACAATAGCATGCATGATTGTTGTGTAAAATAATGCGGTATATATTCAAACAGGAGCAGTAGCTACGGCGAGGGCCTGAAACTGGTCGCTTCGCTGGGCTTCGACATTTGAAATCTCCAGCGGAAATTATTCCGTTCAGACCATGTCGTCGCCGAGTAGGTACTAGACGCTGTGGGAAGGAGAGGGGAAGAGAGGGAGAAGAAGGGAGGAGAGGGGAGGGAAGGAAGGGGAGGGGAGGGAGGGGAGGGGAGGGGAGGGGAGAGAGGAAGGGGTGAAGGGCGCCACCCCGTTACCTTGAGGCCGCCCATGTGGCTCGGTGCCGCCTTCTTAGAGGGGATCGGATGTCCAGGGGCACCAGAGTGGGACGCAGGGTGTTCTCGTTTGCTAAATGGACGCAGCGGAAGTGATGGAATGTAGCATGGTAAAATTGAACGAATTTAACCCGCGCACCGACGGGGGTCTGCGCCAACTTAGTACCGACGGGGGGGGGGGCGGATGACCGCCCCCCCCCCTGAGATCTCGAGAACGAAGCAAGATAGCGACAAGCGGTAAACGGCATCGGATACGCACGGACAAGGTCTACAATTTTTACTAAGGTCATTTTCAGGTCAGGTCAAAGATGACGTCACAGGGGTCGAAAAAGTCAAAATGGCGGCGCTAGATATGGAGAGGGTTTTTCTCGAATAACTTTCGAAGTAGTCAAGATAAGAACAAACTAAGGGCATCATCGTGATCCTCTCGTCAATCCGCATCGAATGATAGGGGAAGGTGGGGTAAGACGGCCCAGCGGGGCAAGACGGACCACCAGCCCTCCCGGCTGAACCGCTGCTGGTATCTACTGCTTTATGCACTCTATATGTTTGTTTTCCTTCGTAACAATGGCCACCTTGAGCTCATGCTGCTAGAATGCATAGCTTTTGAGTTATTGAGAAAAATGTTGTTTTTCGTCAAACCGATCTAATATAAGAGGTCTACGGGTGATTCAATTACGGCGCCTTTCTTGCATGATTAGTTTCTATTTTGCACTTTACTGTGAAGAACAAAGTTATAAACTTAGTTATAGTCACACTTTAGGAAAGGCAAGGTTTTGCAATGTTGGGCTATTTGACATATGCGTCATGATAATGACAGAATTTAGATTTGGGGCAAGACGGACCACTGTGGTCCATCTTACCCTGTGGTGGTCCATTGTACCCTGCATATGGAAAGTTCTTTTCCAAAACATTGACACAAGTTTAAGTAAGCTAATTTTTCAGGAAGGAGTCTTTGTTGCATGTGAGCCATGCATGCAAGTGCTCAGTTAGCATGCATTCATGCCAAACGACAATCAACACACATGTTCCCAGCTTTTAGCTGCATTTCCATCACACATGAGTAAAGAATAAAGGCTCATTTTGTTGTTTTACCATTCTGGTTACTTTTTCTTACAAGAGTACAGAGCAGAAGTGTAACACACATGAACGAATAGCAGGCACTGCTGGGTGGTCCGTCTTACCCCACGTTTTTTCTTGTCTGAGTTTTTGACATGTCCCTCTTTAAGAGCATCCACCACCGAGATGTCTTTAATTTGAAATTTAGTCTTTACACATATCAACAGAGGAAGGATTGAGCATTCCGAAGACTATAAATAATATGAATTACGAGAGCAGTGTAGAAAGATATGCGGCCTCAAACCTTAGCTGGTCCGTCTTACCCCACCTTCCCCTATATATGTTGACCTCGAAAGGTCAAGGTCAAAGGTTGACCTCAGGTCACGTGACCTCGAGGTCATCATGTATATCATTCGATGCGTCTTGACGAGCTGAACACAATGAGACCATCCGCGCGGCTGTATCTTGTTCCTGTAAGAAGTTATTGGCAAAAAACCTTTGGTGACCTTTGATGACGTCACATGACCTTACAGCTGCCCAACAGCAAAACAGACCTCAAGGTAGTAAAGGTTGATCGTATGTGAAGTCATGTATGGTATATGGGGCCATTCCGACCCGTTTTAGTGGTAAAAACAGGGAGTTGATTTTTCCCCCATTGACTTATAATGGGGAGGTCGCGAAATCGACCTGACCTTAGGTCACCGACATCAAAATTCCGAGATATAAAAATTGTAGCTACTAATGACCTAATAACATCCTGCGACTTTCAAAGTCCTCCGACATCTACTGTAGCTCTGGCACGGTGACAAAGTTGCAAAAAAGTGACTTGAGGTTGGGTCATTCAAAGTGACCTGGTGACCTGACCTTAAAAGTTAGGAGGTTCAAACTTGCACACCATGTGTAAAATTGATGAGAGAATAGTCATACCAAATTTCGCGGCGCTACGCGCCGCGGTTTTCCCGCTATCCGCGAAAAACCTCAGGGGGGGGGGCGGATATCCGCCCCCCCCGTCGGTACGCGGGTTAAGTTCTGAATTTTTTGAATAAGAAAATGCTGCTGGTATTCGGCGTTTTCACAATTCTACGCATATGAGTCTCCTCACTACCATGTTGTGAATGAAAAAATACCCATTTCTTGCTAAGGCTAATTTAAAGATTCACTGCGTTTTCAGTCAATCATTTGCAAACGACAAACGCATTTTTGCTATACCAAACAGAAAAAATATGACAAAAACGGCTAAAACTAGGTATCTACAGGCAATGATCTGCAACGCAAACAGCGAAAGCTATTAAAACCCTCGCCCGCACATGCCATTCTCCCATCCTAGAACGCACATGGGGGGGGGGGGTTGCCACCCCCGCGCCATTTCGTTCCTGTTGGAGATAGAGCTTAGCGGTAAGGACCAGAAAGATTCTTTGGGAAGAGACGAATCCAATGATACCCAGTTTTACCTTCTCAGGTCAGTCATTGACCTTCCAGGTCAGGTCAAACTAAAAAAATGTTGCTGTTTTGGGTCACCGTTGGATATCAAGTGCGCTGCTTAGCAAATACCGATGACGATGCTGTTTTCTGGTGCCAAGCCAGCTAGAACCTCTTTGTCACACTACCCGACCAGAATTTTGCTGCTGAGGTCATTTCAGGTCAAGTTAGGTCAAGGTCAATTATATGTGTTTGTATGTCTGTACGTGTCTGTGTGTATACTGATGTGTGCACCGATTGTTTTTGGGTCCATATTACATGAAATCAAGATCTGAGAAGCTTTTACCAAAAATGCAGTCAAAAAACTTCACAAAAAGTAACTTCAGCTTGCCTAAAACGAAATTATCTTAGATGACCTAGGTTGACCTTGACCCTGACCTTGACCCCTGTACATCGTCGAACAACATGTTCCATGATAGGTGGAGGTAAGACTGGCAAAAAAGGCCGAAATCAGGGTGTCAAAAGCTCACAAGGCCCATGGCAAGCGCAAGATGTTGAGAATTGGCCATTTGGGTCATGACATGACCTGAAAAACAAGGTCTTATCCCGAAACTAAAAATCACAGAAGCTTGAAATTTTCAGTGGACATCAAAAAAGGATAGAGGAGCAGCTATACGAAAAATCAGCCTTCTAGCTCTAAAAATGTTGAGTGCAGAGCAGAAAGACTACCTGGGAGGGGGGTGGCACCCCCACCCCATGTGCGGGCGAGGGTTAATTCATTTTCAAGATGCATTTTTCTGTCGCAGGTAATAGGAATTTAAGCTCCGGCAGCTGCTCATAAAATACGAACCTGATTTCTGATTTAATATATTCGGACATATCCCGATTCAGCTGAATATAGGCATGAGAAGGCCTGATCGGAAGGACAAGACTCCTCGGTGGCTCTGTCCAGCGACCCATCGAGAGGGGCAGACAAAAAAACGGAGAAAGCCGGGGCAAAAAACGTGACCACCGCCCAGACGCACCCTTACTCGGCGGCTCACAGCGCATTCCGAGGGAGCACTGAATGCTGGACGATTCCCTAATCAGACCAATCGAGAGAAGAAGGCCCGGCCACCGACGCCGACCAGCTGTGCTCCTGAGTCTCGCGGGTCTCTGGGGTCAACAGAGGTCAACGGGGCCAGCAGAGATCACTAACGTCAATAGCTGCCAATAGGGGTCAGTAGAGGTCATTGGGGTTAACTTAGGTCCATGGAAGTCAGCAAAGGTCACTGGCGGCCTGCAGGGGTCACTGGACGTCAATAAAGGTCACTGATAGTCAGCAGAGGTCATTGAAAATAAACAAGTCTCTGAGTGGAGTAGGGAGGTCACATAGAGGGAGAAAGGTCACTGAGGGTCACTAGAGATCACAGGGGTCAAAAGATGGGGTTAGTAAAATCCACAGGTGCTCTACTATGACAAAAAAAAAATCGGTTCCGTTTAAAATCTAAGATTT